GTGGCGGTGGCGGCGGCGGAGGCGGTGGTGGTGGTCGTCGTCGTAGTCGTTGTCGTCGTAGTAGTAGTAGTAGTAGTAGCAGCAGTAGTAGTAGCAGCAGCAGCAGTAGCAGTAGATGTAGCCGTAGCAGTAGCATTAGCAGTAGCAATAGCAGCAGTAGTAGCAGCAGTCGTAGCAGTAGTAGCTGTGGTGGTAGTCGTAGTGGTAGTACTGATGATCGAAAATTGTAATTTTGCATCATAATTTGCGTTTCGCAAAACAGTTCCTATACAAGCCATCATAAGGAATGCGGTGACCTCAGAGTCCTGCATAAATCCTAGCTTTCGAAAATTGAGGCCTTCTGTACATATATACATATTCTTTTTTGAATAAGCCAAAATCAAAAACACACCTTCACATACAAATGAAAGGATGAATAAGCTAGATAGATAAAATATGTACATACATATATACATGTACATGTATACATACCTTCTACAACCCATGCTGAGAAGCGCTTCTTTATAATAGCAATACCAACCCTAAACCCTAAACCCCAATTTTAAGGTTCAGTGCGCTACGTCTTCGTGCCCCGGGTGCGGCGTGGCGCCTCTGAGGCTCCACTGGCTTGGGGTTTAGGGTTCACGGTTCCGGGTTTAAGGCTCAGGGTTCATGGTTTAGGGTTTAAGGTTTAGGGTTTAGGGTTCAGGGTTTAGGGTTCACGGTTCCAGGGAGGCGATTTAGGCATCTCCTTTAAAGGGGTTGTACAGGGGTATATAGGGACATATACATATCTATATATATACATATATGTATAATGGGCGTTCTTCAGGGATATATAGGGTAAAGGGGTATTTAAGGTTTAGGGAAAGGGAATATAGGACTTAGGGTTATAGGGGGTTCCACGATAAGGGATTCCCCTTTTGGGGCCCTTCTAGTACGGATGAGGATGCTCGCGGGTATGTGAAGAGGACTCTGATTTCAACAGCTCCCATTTGGTGTTTAGGGCTTAGGGCTTAGGGTTCAGGTGTTTGGGGGTGTAGTGTATGACTTCGGATTTGAGTTTTAAGGTTCAGGGTTTGGGGCTTAAGGTTTATGTTTTGGGGACTGGAGGAGGGTTGGCTGAAGCGTTTTCGCCGTAAATCTGCTGCTCCACAGGGATTCCTGGATTTCCTGGCTCGGTCGCTTGAAAGATCAACTTTTTGTTGGTTATCACTACGGTTTAGGGTTTTAGGATTTAGGGTTTGGGGTCTCTTTGTTGGTTATCGCTACCCCAAAGTGATGTCTATTCAATTGTTGTTCTCCTCAGAGAACCCTGTTCTATAGTCCTTCCCACGAAGTTTCATCTACTCGACGACCATTAGTCTATGGTCCACGGAACGTCATTTTTGTGGGATGTCAATGGATTCCGCTTAAGTTGCTCAGGGTTTGGAGGGAGTAGAGGCTGAGGGTTCGGGGTTTTCAGGCTTTGGGCTGATGATGTCTGCGGCCTAAATCGCCCTAAACCCTAGACCCTAAACATCCCTAAGCCGATGGTCAAGATCGTAATGGCATGGAGAAAGGTGGTAATGAGGAGGCTAATGCTGCACCAAGTTGTTTTCACGCCGAGTGAGGGACGTATGTCATCAAACCGCGTGCCGGTCGGGCAGGCATAAAAGTCCGAGGGGCTGTTAAACAAAAAAGAACCCTAAACCCTAAACCCTAAATCAGATGACAGGCGGGCTTCTCCGGGCGCCGGTGCGACGCTGACAGCTACGGCGGGTGGGTGCCAGGAGGCTGGCCTGTGCAGGGTTCAAGCGGGTTTAGGGGTTCAGAATAGAACTGCAGGGGGCTGAGCAAGAGGAAGCCAGGCTGTTTGTTTCAGGGATGAGGGTTGAGGCTTCAGGGTTGTGCATGGGTACTTCCAACAGAAATGAAAGGGTTTTGGTTTATGAGGATACCCTTAATTGCTGGAAATGGAAATGCCAAAATGCTCAGAGGCCCGAGCCGCCCGCGTGCAAGCTGATCAGGCTAATTGAGTAGCATTTTATTTGGGGATACTATGGTACCCAATATAGTGTAAGATTCTATCCTCCTTTTGGGGTATAGTATTTTATATAAGGAATATCATCTTACTAGGTTCAACCACCAAAAAAAAAAGTTACTCAATTAGAGCTGCCTGCAACCCTCCAATGGCCTGCAGCTCTGTGAGTTTTACTTAGTACTCAGGGGGTTCATTCCGACCCAACTGTAGGTGATTGGGGTTACAGGTAGTGCTTCGGGCAACATGAAACAATCCCCAAGTTCCCCAAACCTATGTACCCTACATATAGACGCAAAATGAACTGGTTTTCCCAAAATCAGGGATCCTTTTGGGGGTCCCTGGATAGGGACATATAGGGATGAATTATTGGGTATATGTGGGAAACTGCCAAATGTGTGATTTGAGGCTACTCAACTCTCGAACACACACGTAGACCGTGGTCCTAATTATATGTCAGTTGTGGATGCCCCAGTCCCTCACTTAGAATATATCCTCCGGTTGGATAAAGTGTGTTGTAAGAAGACAATCTGACTTGGTTCAACTATTCTAGAAAGCACCCCTCAAATCTTGGACGGTACAAGACCAAGCAGCTAAACCCAAAACCCAAAACCCAAAACCCTAAACAACATGGCCACAAGCCCTGAAGCTCCAAACGCTACACTCTAGCCCTATCCTGCGCCTCCCTGAGACCTGAACAAAGAAAATCTGCAAACACGCCCGCAATTTGACTCTACGGAGTGAAGGAACATGGGTTATGGGGACTTCTATAAGAGAGTAGGGTTTAGGGTTTAGGGTACATAGGGACTGCCAAGGGGATCAACTCCCTGAATCATTACGAACCACCACTAGACCTCAAACTCAGCAACGAAGTAGTTTCCATTTCTTTTTCCTTGTCTTCATTCCTCACTAACCCATTCCTTATTCCCCCCTAATACTTACTAACCAGCAGTACTAGGTCAAAGTTTCAAACGGCTTGCATTTTTATTTAAGCACAAGAAGCAACATGCAAGTTACAACTCTGTAATAGTACCCCCCCACATCTACCCTAAAGCCCGGAACCCTAAAACCCCAAACCACATATCTTCCTGTATATCCCCTCGAGATCCCTATATAGCCCCCTTAAGGGAAATCCTGAAATAACCATGTATATCCTCTAGATGCCACTGCATAACCCCTGTAAGGGAGATCCCCAAATAGCCACCCTAAACCCCACACCCTCTACCCTGAACCCTGAACCCTAAACCCTAAACCCATAAGCCCTGAATCCCAAAACCCCAAACCCAGCAAGCAAAAAGCAGGCGTTCTCTCTGGCCGCGATGGCTGCGGCTTAGGCCGCGCAGCGTACGGCGCGCGCTGGGCCGCAAGGCCATTGCTTTTCTGTTCAATTCGTTCAGGGTTTTGAGTTTATGGGTTTAGGGTTTAGTGTTTTAGGGTTTAGGGTGTAGGGTTTAGGAGATATGTGGGGCTAGGTTAGGGGCTTGGGAAATATGTGGGATTATATAGGGGTCGCATAGGAACTATAGCTTTTGGGGAGGCATTGCCCCCAATCATGGAGGATCAAGCCGCAAAGAACACAGATAATGAAATGGAAGCTAGGATCATTCAGGGTTTAGGGGTTCCTCAAAATTAGGGGTACACTTTTGGGGGGTCCCAATAGCAGGGACAGTACTTGGAGGTCTACATAAAAGTTCCTTCATTTCTTGAAAACCCACCGTATTCGAAGGTTTTTTACGGATGTACACGCTCCCACATATTTAGTTTCCTATATGAGGGAATAGAAAGGAAATTGGAAGCTACCATGTTATTTTGGGTTTAATGTTTAGGAGGGATGAAGGGTTTGTAGGCTAAAGGGATATGTACGATCCCCTGCAAGGGTTAAATGGAGCTGAACCCTAATCCCTAAACCCAAAATCCTTTGGGAGTGTTGGGGTGTTCGAGGTTTCGGCTTTTAGGGTTTTTTTCAGGGGGTTTGGGTTGCAGGGATGTTCTGAATATGAGGGTTTTGGGATGTTTGAAGATGCAAAGGTTTGGGGATGTTACATCCCTAAACCCTAAACCATAAAATCCTAAAGCCTAAACGCTAGGGTGTTGGACTTCCACTTGGAGATTCCAGGGTACTTAAAGACGGGTTCCAGGTATGGAATGGTATGTTTAGTGTGTTTAGCTTGTTTCCAAAGTATGGGCCAAGGGAATCACCAAAGTCCTCTGAACCTCCCAAAGCCCCAAAGCCTCTGAAATCACCCCAAACCTTCCCCTTCCCTACTGGTGCTTCAGGTTGGGGTTTAGGATCTAGGGTTCAGGGTATAGGTTGGGGAGTAGATCCTCCCCAAACCCTATACTATACACTCACTTATGATGATCTGTATATTTCCTCCCGCTTCCACCCTTATGCGCCAGAGAGAAAACCCATACATGCCATCATGATCATCATCATCCCAGTTTCCTTTCATTTTCCATGTTCTCTCCATTTGATTCTCCATGTTTCTATCCCTAGACTCTCTATGTCCATATAATCTAAACCCTAACTCTACATCCCTACATCGCCCCTGTGCCTAACTAAGTCCCCATACGACCCCGCAGAACCCCTATACAGCTCTATATAACCCCTAAATAACCCCCTCATATACTCCCTATATGAGCCCTAAATCCTAAACCCTGAACCCTAAACCTTAAGCCCTGAACCTTAAACCTCATGTAATCCCCATATCCTCCTACTCCAGGAGTCTGGTTGCAGCGGGTCTTTGCCGCCGATGCGAGGTGC